TCCTAGAAATGTTCCAAAAGCAAACCCGACATTAAATGCCAAACAATTGCTAAACATAATGGTATATTGTATGCTTTCCATGTCCACTGTTTTGCGGAAGTACTGGAATAAAGTGTCTGCAAATACGGCGTAAAGTGCCACTCCACAACTGAATTCAAAAGCTGTGCCATGTTCAATCAGGCATCTCAATAACAAATAACCCGTTCCTAATGTAAATATAAATATATTCTGGAAGCGTAATTGTTGAATAAAGAAAAGTGTTGCAAAGAGTAAAAGTATGAAGAGAAACATGATTTTTCCATGTTGAATTCCCTCTCGTTCAGTTGTTGTGGTCAACTTTTTGGCTATAAGCCATCCTGCACTATTGTTAAACTCATCATTTCGAATTTCATCTACACGTTTCCAGTTATCATCAGCAAGCGTGTGTTCACACATTCTGGTTTCAATTCCCAGAGTTGTGCCTTCATTTGGGTCGAACCGCTCACCCATAATGTGCTTTCTTAAGCTTGTCTTCCCTGCTCTACTATCCCCTAACAGTTGTATGGTGATTCTGTTTTGTTGTAATTCACCTGTTTGATATACATCTTCGTAAAGTTCATCAACAGATCCCTTTTTGGACAAATATGGTACGCTGTATTGATCAACGAGATGCATTTTATTCAGCCATTTTCTCACAGTCTCCTCCATAGTTGGCACTGACGATATAATAATAAAACATATAAACTTGATAATAACATATATTCACATTTAATATTGCAAATCGTGATTCAGTAGCTGAGCTAAGTTTTCTAAATATTCTAAAACACAATGGACTGGATATATAGGCTTTTCTGGTGGCACGAATAATCAAAGAAAGTAATATAAAAAAAACGTGAGTCTAAGTATATAGAGTTAGTGTAATAACTATACAAATTGAGTATGCTATCACGGGGGGAGATTCTTCTCCTCTGGGGTTCTCCACACGTGTCAGAGGGGATCTCGTCTGGTCTCTCTATCGCGTCCCCTTGAGGTACGGGATCGGGAAAGTCACTTAACTTTACAGTCAAATAGACGCACACAACAAAATACGTTCAACTCTCGTCTTAGTCGGTCAGTCGAGCACTCTATAAGACACAGCACCCTGGGGAAAAGTCCCCAAGACTATCGCAAGGCTGATCCAAGACTGCCTCTAGACTGTGTCAAGACTCGCCCCAATCATAAAGCCAATCACACAAAGCACTGAACACGTCATATCTTTTGATTAATCGTTCACTATATTAGTAACTACGAATACCAACTGTCAGAAATAGTAGTCCGAATAGCGACGGTTATCACGTAATTAGTTCTAAATCACTGAGTCGAGTTCCGTCCAGAACCTCAAATGGGCCGAAACGATGACAGACATAACACAGCCATTCACTCGTAATCAACTAATTAAGTCAGTCAACAGATACGCAAAAACAAATTCATCACAATGCCGTGTTCATGATATGCAAATAATATTTCAATATTTATCATATAATTGAATTATTTATATGATTATTATTTTATATATATACAAACGGTACCCCATAGTTAAGAACCTGTATAAAAGTACAAACGCGACTCAATATCTTGATTTACCTGATAATTGTATTCAATGTAATCGTAAACGGTCATTTAATAATGAAGAGGTATACAGTACACTGGAGTTTTATAATTACAGAAGTTAGATAATTTAGCTCACTGAGACCAATCACTGCAATCTACTCATAAATTAACAATACAATAAAATATACGACATTAATATTGCAATAACCTGCCGCTTTTATTTGAGAACGCGAGTGATCATTTTTGGGATTGCCATACGAGACTAATTGTGGTGCACTGTTTTTCGCCGATGTTGTTGATGTCGCAAATTATAAAATTTAATTATGAATTACAGTAGTATAAACTGTTGTTTCATTTCATTTAATACCAAAATCGTTAATTTTCTGTCAGAATCGACCGAGAAACTAATACTACAACTTACTAGAACGTCGACCCCAAACAAGCGATAAACTACCGTTAGTGTCCCCGTACTTTAAGTATCAGTAAATTAATGAGTACATGTCGCAATCTACCAATGACTATTAATAACCGATGACATACATTCGCAAACACATATATCAAAATAGTTATTTCGTAAACAATAATAGTTTATGAATGACACACCCCAACAGTGTCTCGACATGAGTAGTGCGTTATTAAGACATGCGTAAAATGTATGAGTTCATGATAAAATTGGTCACAAAAAAGTTATCAAACCGGAAAACAACTCAATTTATAACGTTAATGTGTGTGACAACACGTAGTGTTTATAATAAAGTAATGGTTATCTTGGCAACACCCAATTTTCGCTATCGACGTTACTACCAGTAATTGTAAATTACGCACATACATGTACTTGACGGAAGGATTTTATTACATCCATGGTTACCGTATATGTACGTCATCACCCCTCCCTCCAATACTACGTTTGGACGAAAAAAACTTTTCTGATGTAGTACACCAATACTACTACATACATTCCCAAGGCTCACTTTGATTGTAGGTCAGTCAGGCCATGTGTTCAGAAAGATATGTCCGCTCACAAACAATGGTATTTTTTGGAGTTTCAAAAGCGCGGTGTACAACATAAGTCTATGAGGGATTGCGTTTGTTTTTATAGAAAATGAATCATTCTGAAATCAGTATATCTGGTCCTACAATTTTGCACCTCGCACGCCATCGAATTTGTTCACCACAGTCGATTAGACGATGCCGACATGTCTGCGGTTTCCAGACATAACAAGAGTTATCACCCTGTTCAAACATGTTGTGACTTGTCATACATGAGGCGGGATGGGAATTGATGTGGCGGTGGCACAGGAGGGGCAGAGAGGGCGGTCAAAATAAATAAAGCTGAAACCTTTTGTGTCAGCGAAATGTGTCCCTCAAAATACAGGAAATAGCGTTTCAGAGAGTCTAGATTTAATTTTTTAAGAGGGAGCATGCCCCCGGACCCCCTAGTAAGATCGCCGCCTCTGGGTTGGGTAAAACCCCAATTCTCACAGCACACATGCTTCACGCTTTAAGGTTTGTTTACAAGGTTTACAGTTAGCGGTGGATTAACGAAATGAAGGATAATAGGCAAAGTAGCTTACTTGAATAGAAGCGTCAATTGTGATGTAACCAGGCCACCTGGTGGTTGGTATCAGGGCTCAGAGACACTGAGTCTCGTACATATACTGGTATACAGGCCGAACAATATATCTACTCATGAATACGTTGCATATACAACTCACTTGAAAGTGTTGCTCACGGAAGCAGGCGAGTATTAATTATGAGTTCACAAGATATGAATGCATCATGATGCTGCAACTGTAGATACTACAAGCTCGTGCTTAGAAGGTATGAATATAAATTCAATCCAGTGAGAATGATGTTTATAACGTGCATGGCTGCGTCAAATTCTCGGCAGTAGCAATCAGCCTCGGTAGTCAGCTCACAAGATGGCCGTCTATAACACTCACTCAATCACGTT